CACTGCAGCCTCGATCTGCTGGGCTCAGGTGATCCTTCTGCCTCAGCCATCCAAGTAGCTGGAACTACAGGCACGTGCTACCATGCCTGGCTTATTTTTTGATTTATTGTAGAGATGAGGTCTCACCAAGCTGCACAGACTGGTCTCAAACCCCTGGGCTCAGGCAACCCTCTCGCCTCGGCTTCCCAAAGTGCTGGGATTACAGGCTGGAGCCACTGCACCTGGCCAATAGCAATGGATTTTTTTTTTTGAGTTGGAGTCTCACACTGTCGCCCAGACTGGAATGCAGTGGCACGCACCCGGCCACCGCAGCCTCAACATGCTGGGCTCCGGCGATCCTTCCGCCTCAGCCTTCCAAGTAGCTGGAACTACAGGCATGTGCTACCATGCCTGGCTAATTTTTTGATTTACTGTAGAGATGAGGTCTCACCAAGTTGCCTAGGCAGGTCTTGAACCTGCGGGCTCAGGCAGTACACTCACCTCAGCCTCCCAAAGCATGGGATTACAGGCTAAGCCACCGAGCCTGGCTAGCAATGGATTTTTAAAGTGCTGTTGTACTTATGTATTGTTTGTGTATTGTGTTTCTGCTTTTTCTTTTTTTAATGTATAAGAGTACCAGGTGTTCCCCATTCTTGCCAGCATTTGGTATTTCAGATCCTTTCTTTTGGTCAGGTTTATGGAGGTGTGCCGTTCCATGAATTTTGACAGATACACACAATTTGTACCCACCATCACAGTTTGTCTCTGTGCTTTTGCATACAGAAACTTTAGCATGAGCCAAAGAATTTCACTTTTCCTGTCCTGCAAAGTTCAAGACTATCTGACTTTTGACCAGTATGGATTCCTGGCCATAGTCAAAAAGAGTCTTCCAGCTAAGCTGTATTTTCTTCATCCTTTGTTTTAATCCAAATGTGCTTGTTTTCAGTAGGACCTTGTCAAAGGTGGCAATATGTGTCCAGTGCACATCAACTTCCAACCATCTTTCTGCCGAGTCACCTAAAGTTCCACCACTCTATAGGCACGTGGTCTGAGTCTTCAAAACTAACAGTTTGAAACACTTTGCTGCAACAGAGCAGCAGGCTTGCCACCTCCCAGCAGACTGGATGGGTCCTCATTGCCTCCACACATTCTTAGCACAGCCAGTTCCATATTCTCAGATCTGACATTTGTGGCACTCTATTCCTGAAACCAAGTTTTGTTTAGTTAAGACTCTTAAAGTTGCAGAGTTCAGAAACCTATCCCAAACTGGCTGGGTTTGAATTTTAAAAAGAAAACTACTGGCTCCTATAATTGAGCTTTCCAGGTATTGGGACTTCTTTGGGCACAGCGGAGGGGCAGGGCTTCAGGAGTCCCCTTCTCTTAGCTCTGTTTCCTTCTGGTTTCATTCCCAGAAGAAATGGGATGCTGCTGGAAAAGTGGTCACAATCAGCCCCAGTGTCACGCCCTACCCAGGGCAAAGAGAAAGTCCTGCCCAGCTTGGGTTATGGGCCTAGTTCTGAGCCAGTCACTGCTGGAGGGATGCAGTGATCTGATTGGCCAGTCCTGTGTCACCCTTCTTTAAAATTCAAGTGGAGGTCAGCCACACCAGGACAGTATGCACTGACAGTTGAGGTGGACAGTTTTCTCCAAAGGAATTCTGACTACATACTAATAAATAAGCAAATAAAAATATGAGATGCCCAGTTAAATTTGCATTTCAGATAAATAGTGAATAATTTTTTTGGACACATGGTCTTAATCCCTAAACCAACAGATTCAGACACTCTGCCACCATTTAAAACTTAGCAGACTTACAGACTTCCCAGCCCAAGTGAGAGGGTCCTTGCTGCCCCCACCCCTTCCTAGTATAGCTGAATCCATACCATCCCCCCACACTCTAGGCTGTCGACCAGAGATACAAACTCAGCAGGGTTCCCCTCCATCTTGGTAGGCCCTTTGGGAAATCTACTAAAAATTTGTTTGTTGTCTATCTGAAATTAAGTGTAATTTATATGAAATACAATTTAATATAAATGAAGTACAGGATACCCAGTTAAACTTCAAATTTAGCTGGGCTCGGTGTCTCAGCCTGTAATCCCGCGCCTTTGGGAGGCTGAGGTGAGTGGATTGCCTGAGCCCGTGGGTTCGAGACCCGCCTGAGCAACTTGGCGAGACCTCATCTCTACAATAAATAAAAAAATCAGCCGGGCGTGTTAGCGCATGCTTATAATTCTGGCTACTTGGAAGGCTGAGGCGGAAGGATCGCCAGAGCCTAGCATGTCGAGGCTGCGGTGGCCGGGAGCGTGCCACTGCACTCCAGTCTGGGCAACTGAGTGAAACTCCAACTTAGAAAAAAAAAAACAAAAAAGAACTTTCAAATTTAACTGAACACCCTATATTTTACATGGCAGCCTTAGTTACCAGTAAAATAACCAACTAACCTTAGACAGGCCAAGATAGCAGATTCCCCTGTATTGACCCATTTTTTTTTTTTTTGAGTTGGAGTCTCACTCCATTGCCCAGGCTGGACTGCAGTGGTACGCTCACTGTCACCCCAGCGTTGACCTGCTGGGCTCAGGCAATCCTTCCGCCTCAACCTTCCAAGTAGCCAGAACTACAGGCGCATGCTACCATGCTCTGCTAATTTTTTAGTCTGTTGTAGAGATGAGGTCTTGCCACGTTGTCCAGGCTGTTCTCAAACTTGTGGGGTCAGGCAATCCCCTCACCTTGGCCTCTCAAAGTGCTGGAATTACAGGCTTGAGCCACCATGCTCTGCTGTTCCATTGTTTTAAAGTAGAAAGAGCACTGAACTAGAAGTCAGATACCAATTTGGCAGGTGACCTTGGGTGAGTCACACAACTTTGTCCCAGTTTTCTCAGTAATAAGGGTGAGCCACAGAGCTCTCCCCTGCCTCCCTCAGGCTGATGTGAGGAGCAGATGAGGTAGCCACTGGCCCAGTGCTTGGAATGAAGATGAAGCTCCAGATAGAATAGGGACAGGGGGGCATCCTTCTGTGGGGATAGGCTCTCCCATGTGCTGTTCTATCCAAGAGGACCACTTCCCTTTTTTTTGAGTCAGGGTCTGTCACCCAGGATGGAGTGCAGTGGCATGATCATAACTCATGGCACCCTCTACCCCCTGGGCTCAGGCGATCCTTCCACCTCAGCCTCCTGAGTAACTGGGACTACAGGCACGTGCCACCACATCCAACTAATTTTTCTGACTTTTGTGGGATGAAGTCTTACTGTGTTACCCAGGCTGGTCTTGAACTCCTGGGTTCAAGCAGTCCTCCCACCTCAGCCTCCCGAAGTGCTAGGATGGTAAATGTAAACCACCATACCTGGCCTTTCTCTCTCTCTCTCTCTCTCTCTCTCTCTCTCTCTTTTTGAGTTGAGGTCTTACTCTGTCACCCAGGCTGGAGTACAGTGGCACGATCACGGCTCTCCTCAGCCATGACCTCCTGGGCTCAGGCAGTCCTTTCACTTCAGCTTTCCAAGTAGCTGGGACTACAGGTATGCACCACCACACTTGGCTAATTTAAAACTTTTTTTCTTTTTTTTGGTAGAGATGAAGTCTTGCCCAGGCTAGTCTCAAACTCTTGACCTCAAATAGTCTTCCCACCTCAGCTTCCCAAAGTGCTGGGATTACAGTAGTGAGCTACTGCACCTGGCTTGCCTATTTTATTTTTTTATTTTATTTATTTATTTATTTTTTTGAGTTGGAGTCTCACTCTGTCGCCCAGACTGGAGTGCAGTGGCTGCTCCCGGCCACTGCAGCCTCGACCTGCTCTTTTCAGACTTGCTAGCACAAAGACACAATCCGTAAGACTGATGTGAGCCGGGCTCGGTGGCTCAGCCTGTAATCTCATGCCTTTGGGAGGCTGAGGTGAGTGGATTGCCTGAGCCCGCGGGTTCGAGACCCGCCTGGGCAGCGAGACCCGCCTGGGCAGCGAGACCTCATCTCTACAATAAATAAATCAGCTGGGCCTGGTAACGCATGCCTGTAATTCCAGCTACTCAGAAGGCTGAGGTGGAAGGATCACCGGAGCCCAGCAGGCGAGGCTGCGGTGGCCAGGAGCAGCCACTGCACTCCAGTCTGGGTGACCGAGTGAGACTCCAACTCAAAAAAAAAAAAAAAAAAAAAAAAGACTGATGTGATTTTGTGTGACCCAGGACCAGCCTTCCAGACTGCTGGTTTTGTTTTGAGCCTGACAGCATAAAGCAAGCTTCATCGTATCGAGGTTCCAGACTCAAGGATTCAGACACAGGTTCAGAAAACCTGCAATTTGTCAGGTTGTGTCAGAACCCCATCTGCAGGGCTGGGCATTGGCCATATACAGAATAGTTACATAGTTACCACTGTTTGTGGAAAAGGGGGTTTATTTAAATAAATTCAACTGCTTGCTTGCACAGCATCAAGAACCTTTGAAAGGATACTTAAGAAACTGGGCATGTGGGCCACCTTTCAGGAAATGGACACAGTAGCTGGGCCAAGGGTGGGAGCAGGACTTCCCGTTTACTGCTTTTTAATTTTTTTTTTTTGAGTTGGAGTCTAACTCTGTCGCCCAGACTGGAGTGAAGTGGCCGCTCCCGGCCACCGCAGCCTTGACTTGCTGGGCTCCGGCGATCCTTCCGCCTCAGCCTTCCAAGTAGCTGGAACTACAGGCGCGCGCTACCACGCCCGGCTCATTTTTGATTTATTGTAGAGATGAGGTCTTGCCAAGTTGCCCAGGCGGGTCTCGAACCCTTGGGCTCAGGCAATCCACTCACCTCAGCCTCCCAAAGCATGGGATTACAGTCTGAGCCACCGAGTCCGGCTGCTTTTTAATTTTGAGCCATGAGAATGTATTCACTATTCAAGAGAACAAATTAAAACTTGTAACAAAAAAAAAAAGATAAGAGAGTATGCAAAGCAAACATGGTTTCTAACCAAAAGGAATTTTTGACAAAGACCCTTTAGGCATGATCTGATTACAAAGGATCCTTTCCACCAGTGATCTGTAGGGCGCCCTGATCCTCTCCCACCCAAGAAAGGCAGGCTGCTTCAGGGATATTCCATGCTGTGATGGACCTTGCTTGGGACCAGTGGCCAACAGAGCCAGAGACTCAGGCACAGCTGCATTTGCTTCCCATGGGAGGGAAAATGCAAACAGTGCAGGATGGTGTGTTTAGGGGAGTGGAGGCCGAATCCATGTGGGATTTCATTGGAGGCTCCCTCCACCACGCTCAGCTCCTGTGGTTTTTGTACATGACTGCCTGTAGTCATTTTTCAACGAACAGAAAAGTTGAAATAGTACAGTTAATAACAGCATGCCAATGACGAGTCTCAGCGATGGTTAGCTTTGGCCATATTTGCTTCAGTGTGTCTTTCATATTATACATATGTATCTGTATTTGTGTGATTAGCAAGGTTATAAATATGGCACTTCACTCCTAAACACTTGAGTATTTTCTAAAAATAAAGACATTCCCTATTATCATGATCATATCCAAGAACATTTACCATTTTCCTAGGGTATCTAAAACCCAGTCCGTACTCAGATTTCCCCATGATTCTGCTTTGAAATGGTTTTTGTAATTGGGTGGTCCCCGTTGTGGGATCCAGACAAGGAATTTAGAGCAGCCCCCACTTGTTTTTTCAATTAATTTTTTAGAGACCAAGTCTGTTTCCCTGTCTCTGTTATTTCCTCATGGTTTCATGTGCTGTTATTTTCTATTTCTTGCAAACCAGAAGCTAGTTCTAAGGGCTTGCTTCACTTCAGGTTGAATTCCTGCAGATTTCAACGAGGGCGTAGCTTAGCTTAGGGTCAGGGACCTGACACATGGTATATCAAGTATCATCATATTACTAATATTGGCACTTAATAATGGTCAATTAACAACCAGTAGCAGTGGCCATAATAGTGGCCAGCACCCATTGCGCAGCCTTCAGTGACAGCCCTGTGCTTGGCACGTTGCGTGTGGATTTCATTTGGGCCTCACAACCCTGTGGAATGTAGGTATCAATACTCTCAGTGTACTCATGAGGCAGTGGAGGCTCGGAGAGGTCAGACCAGTTGAAGATCTTGACCCATGAGCTGTGCTGACTCCAGAATTCCTTCTCTTGGGTTCTTGCAACCGACTGAATAATAATAGCAAACACTCATGTAGTACCTGCCACATGCCAGGAAGAGTTTTAAGGACAGCTCTGTGAGGACTGTCTTGAGATAAGGACACTAAGGCACAGAGAGGTTAAGTAACCTGCCTGAAATCACACAACTTGGGAGTGTTAGAGCTGGGATTCAGACCCTGGCATTGTCTCCAGAGTTTTGTTGTTTAGCCAAAAAGAGATTTATTAAAGGCTATTAGGAAGCTCGCGAATCTTTTAGAGGGCCAGGGATCAGTCTTGGAGTCCGAGCGGCTGGGAACAGCGCCCAGATCACACTAATCCAGGCAACCCAGAACAGCCGGTGGCTTCCACCATGGGGTAGCAGAAACATCATGCAGGAAATTCTCTAGTCATGGGAATGTGTTCACAGACGGCACCCCCGAAGAGCAGTGCAAAAGGTTTCAGGACACAGGTTAACTTTGGAAATGTGTGGAGACTGTTGAAATAGCATACCATGCTCTGATCCTCTTGCCCTCAGGCGGCTACATCCCACGCCAGGTACAGACCTGGCTGAAGCAGTATAGAGCCTCAGAAACCGGCACCATCCCAGCAATGGAGAGGCTCATTGAGTGGCTGCCGCTCCATCTCCCCAGCCAGCAGAGGACCACGGTGGTACATGGAGACTTCAGGTGGGCATGGCTGCAGGAGGGCTGGAAAATGATGTATGTTCGACGGGGAAATTAGCAATTGGTCTTGGGCCAGTTTACCCCTGGGAATTACTCCCAGGACAAAGTACCACCCTGCACATGGCCTCCTCAGGCAAAGTTTCTCAGCTTGGCACAATGGCGTCTCAGGTTGGACAGTTCTTTGTTGTGGGGGCTACCTATGCATTGTGGGATAGCCCTAGGTGCCAGTAGCACATGTCCCCCAAACTGTGACGACCAAACATGTCTGCAGACATTGTCCAGTATCCCCAGGAAGGGAGCATTCCTCTCCACTGAGAACCACTGTTTGAAGGCAAGGCCAAGCGAGGCGGCTCTCACCTCTCATGAGGGCAGGGGATGGATGATCTCACCGGGTGTGGAGAAAAAGAGAATGGACAGGGTCTTCTTGGGACACGCGATGAGTTGAGTGGCTAAAATGGGAACCTCGGTGCCTGGCACCTGGCAGGAACTTCCATCTCTTGTGTGAAAACTGCTCATTAGGCCCTTTCTTGTAGAGGCGCTTTTCTAGTGTCTTCTATATCCCAGCAGCACCTGGAGGCCTGCTTTTGACACACACACACATGCCTTACTTGGGCCCCTGATCCATTTGGTTGTCTCCTTGCCCATCCTGGGGTACTATACCTTTGATGAAACAAGGCTAGACAGCGAAAGCTAATTTTAAAGACATTTCTTTGCTCTTCAAATTTGATTGGCCTTTTTTTCCCAACTTGACCTATGTCACTTATTTCTAGCTCCTACCTTCAGCCACCTTTGGGGATCCCCTGAATCTAAGAACGAACAGCTGGTCTTTCTCTGTCATGTGGGCATCCCCGGAAGGATGATGCTTCTCCTTACATCAGTTTCTCACCGAATGAACCAAGTGATTTCCCCAAAAGCCTTGCACTTGGCATGCAGTGGGGCTGTGTTGGCTCTCTCTCCCATCTCCTCCCTCCACGTGGGACTCTGGAGCACTCTCCTGACAGCACTCTCCTTGCCAGCTATTGCCGCCCATTTGGCAGGTGGCCTTTGTGTCACCAGCTTTATAAAAGCTGCGTGTGGACCTTATCTCTACCTCTCCTCCAGTGTCCACAGATGTGATTACGCGCAAAGCAGGCGGGAGACATCCAGAGCCTCCTCCCTTAACTGTAATGGAGTGTCATGGTCAATAGAATGATGCTTTCAGGAGAGGCATCCTCCGACGTTAGAGAGCATGCTACTGCTTATTGATCAGCACTTACAACCAGAGATATTGCCATCTGTTGATGGAAGGAAGGGCATTTCTAGCTCATGGAGTGAGTCAGTGGTGGTGGGAACATAAACTGGTACAACTGCCTTGAAAAGGAGCAGCCAGAAGATGGGAATATGCTGTATCCCATAATTCCTCTTCTAGAGACACATTCGCAGCTGTGCACCAGAAGACTCAGGCAGAGATGTTCTTGATGCTTGTCATCATAATACATAATAAATAAACCATGGCTTGGCCATACATTTGAGATCTATTCAGTGGGTAAAATAAGCCAACTTGCTGTATATAAATTGTCACAAATAAACCTCAAAAAGATTATGCTGGGTAGAAATAGGTAGATTCCAAGCCGGGCTCGGTGGCTCAGCCTGTAATCCCGCACCTTTGGGAGGCTGAGGTGAGTGGATTGCCTGAGCCCGCGGGTTCAAGACCCGCCTGGGCAGTGAGACCTCATCTCTGCAATAAATAAAAAAATCAGCCAGGCATGGTAGCGCGTGCCTGTAATTCCGGCTACTTGGAAGTCTGAGGTGGAAGGATTGCCGGAGCCTAGCTGGTGAGGCTGCGGTGGCCGGGAGCGGCCACTGCACTCTAGTCTGGGCGACCGAGTAAGACTCCAACTCAAAAAAAAAAAGAAATAGGTAGATTCCAGAAGGATCTATATAGTATGACATCATTTATGTACATTTAAAAAGAATCGAAAGATACTATAAATGGTTTATTGGTACATGCATAGATCAATCAGAGAAATATAAAAATGTCTGAAATGCATGTTTGCCAACTTCAGAATAGCAATTCTCTTTGAGGAAGGAGGTAGGGGAAGAGAATGAAGGTCATTTACTAAATCTGTAAAGGTTTATGTATATATATATATATATATTTTAAAAATATAAGCAAATATAACAAAGAAGCAGGTGTAATATCTATTAAGTCTGGAAGATGGGCACATGCGTTCTGTTATGTGATTTTCTGTATTTTTCTACTTGATCATTAATTTTTCTTTAAAATCAAGCATGCATCTGGGAAAACTCTGGCAGGAAAGAGGACTCAAAGAGGCCATTTGAAGAGAGTTTAACACAGAGGGGTAGCATGGTTTAGAGGAAGCCCTGAAGACTATCGTGGAACTCCAGGGTCAATAGCAGGGGGCCTTATTATCACCCCTAGATCTGACGGTCATTATTTTGCTCACAAATCCTTTCAGTCTGTGGACAAGACAGCTTGTTTCAACTGGGTAGCTCTCAGGCTAGGGCTGGAGTCATCTGAAGGCTGGCTGGCCTGTTGGTCCTGGGCAGAGGAGACATGAATAGCTGGGCTTCTTAGGCCTCTATCTCCCCATGATCTCCAGCATGGCGGCTCCTGGATAGCTGGGTTTCTTTTTTTTTTTTTTTCTGAGTTGGAGTCTCACTCTGTCGCCCAGACTGGAGTGCAGTGGCCGCTCCCGGCTCCCGCAGCCTCGACCTGCTGGGCTCCGGCGATCCTTCCGCCTCAGCCTTTCCAAGTAGCCGGAATTACAAGCGCGTGCTACCACGCCCAGCTAATTTTTTGATTTTATTGTAGAGATGAGGTCTCGCCTGCCCAGGCAGGTCTCGAACCCGCGGGCTCAGGCAATCCACTCACCCCAGCCTCCCAAAGGCGCGGGATTACAGGCTGAGTGACCGAGCCCGGCTAGCTGGGTTTCTTATCTGGTGGCTGAGGACTCCAAAGTTGTGTGTTGAGCGAGAGAGCGAGTGTAAGCACGAGTGAGTGCACACGTTCATGCGCCAGCCAGACAGCCAGCCAGCTTGGTGGAAGCTTATTCCCTTTTCTGACCTAGGCTAGTCTTGGGAACCTTCAGCATCACTTCTCACCTGCATTCCATTTGTTAAAAGCAGGGTGCTTCGAGGGGCAGAGAATTAGACTCTACCTTTCGTAGGAGGAGTGTCAAGGAATTTGTAAGCCTCTTTAAAATTCTCACAGGGAGGGAGTAGTTACCTGAACCCAGCAAGGGGAGCCCTATGAGGAGGGCTGCAGCCACTCCTCAGCTGTTGAGACAGGGAGCTGGGGAACACCTAGCCAGGCCCCTTCTCGTCTCCAGCCTCTGCCTGACTGAGTTCAGCTGGCAGATAGAGGGCAAGGGAGCCCTCGGAAGATGCGACCCATGGAGCTCAGGCTCCCAACACAGAGAGGGCCGAGGCTGGGGAGCCAATTGGTGGGACAAATGGTGCAGCGTCACCCTGTGGTCAGTTTTCTTAGAGCTGTCTTTTCATTCCTTCTGGGACTTTCTAGGCTTGACAACCTGCTGTTTCATCCAGAAAAGCCGGAGGTGCTCGCTGTCCTAGACTGGGAGCTTTCTACCTTGGGAGACCCCCTGGCTGATGTGGCCCATAGCTGCCTGGCTCACTACCTGCCGTCCAGTTTTCCGATACTAAGAGGTAGGGTCTGCGGCTGGGGCGAAGACAGGGACAAGCCAGTGCCACTCTGAAAGCATTGGCAGGGACATGAAAGTGAAGTCCTGGTGATTTTGGTAAAAACTTAACTGGAATGTGCATTAGTTTGTTTTTTGTTGCTATTAAAAATAACTGAGCCTGGGTAATTTTTAAAAATTTTATTTTATTATTTTATTTTATTTTTTTGAGTCAGAGTCTCAATGTGACACCCAGGCTGGAGTGCAGTGGCACACTAATAGCCACCACAGCCTCAACCTGCTGGGCTTAGTTGATCCTTCCACTTCATCCTTCCAAGTAGCTGGAACCACAGGCGTGTGCCACTGTGCCCAGCTAATTTTTTGACTTATTGTAGAGATGGGGTCTCACCAAATTGCCCAGGCTGGTCTTGAACCCCTGAGCTCAGGCAATCCTCTTGCTTCTGCTTCCCAAAGTGCTGGAATTATAGGTAGTGAGCTACCATGCCTGGCTAGATCCTGGGTAATTTATAAAGAAGGGAGGTTGATTTGGCTCTTGGTGACTTTACAAGAAGCTTGGCACCCCCATCTACCTCTGGGAAGGCCTCAGGAAACTTCCCATCATGGCAGAAGGGGAAGGGGAACAGGTGTGTCACATGGCAAGGAGGGAGCAAGAGAGAAGGGAGGAGTGCAGCTCTTTTAAACAGCCAGCTCCTGTGTGAACCAATAGAGGCAGAACTCATTCATTACTGGGAGAACAGCACCAAGCCATCCATGAGAGATCCACCCCCATGACCCAGACACCACCCACCAGGCCCGCCTTCAACCTTAGGAATCATATTTCAACGTGAGATTTGGAGAGAACAACATCCAAACTCTATCAGAATGTATGCCTAGCACATTGGAGGAAATGCACTTGGGATGCTTAAGTGAAGAGTAGGTCTATGTGGGCACCTCCTGTGCTCCTAACAGCTAACTTCTGTTTAATTTGTTACATTACGGGACTGCATTCGTGCTCTCCTCTGTTTTAAAAAAGAAAAAAAAGTATGTTTATTGTAAAAATACTGGAACCCATGGCTAGCAGCAACAACAACAGTTAAAATCATTAGTAGTCCCAGAGATAACCATTTGGTGACATTTCAGTATCTTTGTCATCTTTTCTTCTATGTGTCTGCATACATTTTTTAAAACAAAAATGTGATTATACGATTTTGTGACCCCTTTTTTTCACTTAATTATATACTTTGGTCATGCTTTCATGCCATTAAGTACTTCTTCTACAGCTTTTTTTTCTTTTTTGAGTTGGAGTCTCTCTCTGTCACCCAGGCTGGAGTGCAGTGGCACTCTCATGTCCACCACACCCTCGACCTGCTGGGCTTAGGAGATCCTTCCACCTCAGCCTTCCAAGTAGCTAGAACTACAGACACACGCCACCACGCCCAGCTAATTTTTTTATTTATTGTAGAGACAGGATCTCCCCAAGTTGCCCAGCCTGGTTTCAAACCCCTGGGCTCAGGCAGTCCTCTCACCTCGCCTCCCAAAGTGCTGGGATTGCAGACTGAGCGACCGTACCCAGCCTACAGCTTAATTTTTAACGAGAGCATAGAATTTTATTGTGTAGAATTAGCTTAAGACATTTTGTTTAATTCTTATTTGTATATTTGATTTGCTTCTAATTTTTTTTTTTTTTTTGACTTGGAGTCTTGCTCTGTCGCCCAGACTGGAGTGCAGTGACATGCTCCCGGCCACCACAGCCTCGACCTGCTGGGCTCTGGTGAGTCTTCCGTCTCAGCCTTCCAAGTAGCCGGAACTACAGGCACGTGCTACCACGCCCGGCTAATTTTTGATTTATTGTAGAGACGAGGTCTCACCAAGTTGCCTGGGCAGGTCTTGAACCCGTGGGCTCAGGCGATCCACTTGCCTCAGCCTCCCGAAATGCTGGGATTATAGGCTGAGCCACCGGGCCCGGCCTGCTTCTAATTTTTTAATATTACCTGTCCCCCCACGCCTACAAGAAAGACAGTTACCATCTTTGTAGTAATATCTGTGCCTTTATATGAGGCATACTCCCAGGATTAATTCCTAGGAACAGACTATATTACATGCTTCCAAATCATGAACATGTCACAAACGAAGCAAATCAGAGAAAGTCTTTTATCTGTGGCAATTGCCTTTTTGTAATTTGGTGGGATTGCTCTCTCAATGCCCCTTTCCAGAATGTGACCAGGTAGGTGTGACAGCCCCACCCCTTCTGTCACCGTTATCTTAGTCTGAGCCTCTAAGAGCCAACTGGTGAATAATAGCTTCTTTTAGGATCCCAGCCATCTGAGGGAGGAAGAGTTGAAATAATGAGCTAGCCGGACATGGTGGTTCATCCTGTAATCCCAGCACATTGAGAGGCAGAGGCAAGAGGATTGCCTAGCCCAGAGGTTCAAGACCAGCCTGGGCAACATAGAGAGACCTCATCTCTACAGTAAATAAAAAAATTAGTTGGGCATGGTGGAGCATACCTGTGTTTCCAGCTACTTGGAAGGCTGAGGTGGAAGGATCGCCAGAGCCCAGCAGTCGAGGCTGTGGTAGCTGTGAGTGTGCCACTGCCCTCCAGCCTGGGCAGCAGAGTGAGACTCCAATTCAAAAAAAAAGAAAAGAAAGAATGAGCTAATTCCTGGAACTAGTTGTGAAACTAATTTCCAAGGGACACAGTGATTTTCAGAATGTAAATACTTGCCAGTTGGGAGGAATGTCACATCATTGACCACCCTGGAATGGCTCTGTCTTTCTCTCAGGCTTTGTTGACTGTGACTTGACTCAGCTGGGAATCCCTACCGTAGAGGAGTATTTCAGGATGTACTGTCTTCACATGGGGATCCCTCCCATTAAGAACTGGAACTTCTACATGGCTTTCTCCTTTTTCCGTGTGGCTGCAATCCTGCAGGGAGTCTACAAGCGGTCACTCACAGGTAATGGATGGCTGTTGCAAGAGCCATCCTGAGGGTATGAGTCATAGCCAAGACAGTGCCTCCTTCTGGAAGCCCTCTTGGGGCCCAAAAGATTTTGGAGGGACCAAGCAAGATGCAGTGACTTCAACCATTTATCATATATTTTTTCTCTAAAATATTTAAGCTTGAGCCGGACTCAGTGGCTCAGCCTGTAATCCCGCACCTTTGGGAGGCTGAGGTGAGTGGATTGCCTGAGCCCGCGGGTTCGAGACCATGAGCGTGCCACTGCACTCCAGCCTGGGCAATGGAGTGAAACTCCCATTAAAAAAAAAAAGAAGATAGACACATCAAAGTTTCCTTCCTATGTGGAAAGGAAGGCAGGCAGAAAGAAAGCTGATAGATTCTGCAAAGATCTAGACACCGTGACTTACACAAAAGCATTACGCACTCCTAGTGTCCTCACTACGATCTCAAAATTCTCTTCCCACTTAAAGAAACAGGACTTCTTGGAGAAGTGACTGATTTCAGGCCTGACTGGCACGATATCTACAAGGTGAGCCTGACACCTCTTGTCATACCGGCAAGCAAGGAAGTTGTCAAAGACCACATAGGTCGTATCTAAAGACTCAGAAGCACACTTGAATAGGCTCCATTTGCCAGCGATAGGAGACTGTGGACTTCAGTAAGGATGCTAACTGAGATGGATGGAATCAAGTTTGTAGAACTTTGTAGATTTGAGGAGAGATTCAAAAACAGAGACTGCGTCACATTGATGACTTTGGAGGATGCCAGGGAGCAGCTCACGTTAACTGAATAAATGATGAGGGAAAGTTCTCTCTCAAGAAGTATCCTGGGCATAGTGATAGAGAATTAGCATGTTGCCAACCTGCAACGCCCAGTGCATTAGTGGATCTGGGCAGTGAGCATCAGTGGAAGCTATGATAATGAATGGTATTGTGTGTGGTTTTTTAAGTTCTTGGAGTTTTGAAAGATTCATAGATGAAGTGCTCTGATGTTTGGGATTTACTCAGAAAACTCCAGGACAGTGGGAGTGGGGATGGCAGGGGAGAAACGAGACTGGGCAGCTGGATAATTCTGGAAGGTGAGTGAGGACCTCACAGGCTCATCGTCATCTCCTCTCCACTCTTGGATGTCTCACACATTTTCCAAAGTAAAAAGTTAAGATCAAAAGGCAGGAAGACAGGGGCCTGTCAGTGGGTTGCTAGTGCTGTGTGGAGTCCTTAGCTTTGCAGTCAGCGACACCCTAAGCTCACCAGCAAGTGTGCTCTCAGCCTAGTCGCCAGATTCTTCTGGGAGAAGCCGTTGTACCCAGGGAAGCGACCATTCATTCACAAGGCATCTGAGCCTCTACTGAGTGCCCACACTGTGCCAGGTGGTCCTGGGGACACAAAGTCATGAGCAAAACTGTGCAGAGAAAAATCTGATCCAGAGAATTTCTAGCTTAACCTGAGCTGATCTGCTGAGCAGGAATCCCAGCAAGCAGGAAGTCCCAGAAATGGTATTTTCCCTCCTTTGGCCAGCAGCAGCTCTAAGCCACCATTTCCCATTTTTGTTATGGCTTTGTCATAAAAAATACCCAGAAACATTCAATTAAACAGAGCAACTGCTAAGTCCTTAGGGTGAATGAACGGGCCTGATCACCTGTCGCCATTTCCTAGCGGCTGCCAGTTCTCTCTTGCTCTGCTCCGGGCTCTGGGGAGAGCTGTGTAGATTTGGCCCACTAAGGATGACCTGTTTTCGCATCTCCGCACTGGGTTGTCCTCGGCCTGCCTATCAGGAAGCCCTTGACATGGCGCTAAGATCCTTGAGTGTGACTGCAGGTTTCTCTTGTCTCAGAGGTAAAATACCCCACATGTCTGCCCTCTACAGAAGAATGGGTGTGCTAGCCCGCAAGGCCTTGTTCCTATAGTCCTAACTTTGCCTTCCTTTCCCTCCCACCTGGTAAGCCAGCCAGGCACACTGAGGAAATGGCTTCGCTTTCTCATATAAAAGCAGCAAACTCCATTTTTTTTGTTTGTTTGTTTGAGTTGGAGTCTCACTCTGTCGCCCAGACTGGAGTGCAGTGGCCGCTCCCAGCCACCGCAGACTCGACCTGCTGGGCTCCAGCAATCCTTCCGCCTCAGCCTTCCGAGTAGCCAGAATTACAGGCGCGCACTACCACGCCCGGCTGATTTTTTGATTTATTGTAGAGATGAGGTCTCGCTGCCCAGGTGGGTCTCGAACCTGCGGGCTCAGGCGATCCACTCACCTCAGCCTCCCAAAGGCGCGGGATTACAGGCTGAGCCACTGAGCCTGGCTTCAAACTCCATTTTTTGAAAGAATAATTTAAAAACATCTGATGAGGGAGAGCAAAACTCCACTGTATGGACATAAGTTTTATTTTGTTGCATTTGTCTCCTACAGCCAGCTATCACGATCTTGTTTGTTTATTGGAACACTTCCAATATTTGGTGCTGCCCTGGAGCAGTGGAGTTTAGAAAAGGGCTCGGTTTCCAGGCCTTCTCTCTGTGGTTTCATCACAGGGAACTTCAGAGCATCCTTTGAGTGGGAGGGGAAGGAGGAGGACCAGAGCACAGGAGGACAGTGAGCAGAAGGCCGACGCTGTGCCAGCCCAGCCCAGGCACCCTCTTCCTCTTTAATAAGAGGGGCAGACGTTAAGATTCCTTTGTGGATGGCCTCTGCTTCTAGAAAGGATGAAGTGCTTCTGGCTCCAACATAGATGGTGCCAGTGATGTGGGCTTCTGCTGGGACTGCATTTGGGAAAATATACCCAAAGCAACATAGTTTTAAATCAACACAAGCTCGTACAATGACTTTCTCAGAGACAAACAGCATCTGAGAGTGAGACCCAGCTAAGTAAAAGAACATTTAGAAGATGCCTCCTACTCTGTTTGAAGAAGAAAATCATCGTGAATGCCAGTGAACCAAAGGGGAATGTTTTTCTCTTCTGTGAAGATCCATTTATTGATACAGAGAGAATGAGGGAAATAATCTTTTGGGGACATGGAAATGCTAAAAGTAACCCAGAGACCTGGCTGCGAGAAAGCCCACTCTAACAAGACTGCACACAGAACAGTGTGGGTGGACCCAGATGCAGCACTTGGAAGCAGAGGCTATGCTGAAAGCCCCCAGACTGCCATGTGTGTATCTGTGGGACTTTCTGGAAGAGATACACTGCAGGAACAGAGAACAGTGGGTGCTGGGGACTAGGGCCAGGCTTTAGGTACAAAGGGACACAGGGAAGGTTTAAGGATGATGGAAACTCTCTGTATCTATTTTTTTTGGAGTTGGAGTCTCACTCTGTCACCCAGACTGTAGTGCAGTGGCCGCTCCCGGCCACCGCAGCTTCGACCTGCTGGGCTCCGGCGATCCTTCCGCCTCAGTCTTCCAAGGAGCTGGAACTATAGGCGTGCGCTACCACGCCCGGCTTATTTTTTGATTTATTGTAGAGATGAGGTCTCGCCAAGTTGCCCAGGAGGGTCTCGAACCTGCAGGCTCAGGCAATCCACTCACCTCAGCCTCCCAAAGGCGCAGGATTACAGGCTGAGCCACTGAGCCCAGCTAACTTTCTGTATCGTGATAGCAGAGGTGGTTATCCCTCTATGGGCTAGTTAAAACTTGCAGAGTGGTATACTAAGGAGGTGCATGTATACTGTACCTTAATTTTTTTTTTTTTTGAGTTTGAGTCTTACTCTTTGTCACCCAGGCCGGAGTGCAGTGACAAGCTCACAACTAACACAGCCTCCACCTCCTGGGCTCAGGCAATCCTTCTGCCTCAGCCTCCTGAGTAGCTGGTACTACAGGCACATGCCACCATGCCTGGCTATTTTTTTTTTTAATCAATGAGGGCTCACTATGTTGCCTAGTCTGGTCTTGAACTCCTGGGCTCAAGTGATTCTCTTACCTCAGCCTCCCAAAGTGTTGGGATTACAGGCATGAGCCACTGCATCCAGCTATTTTTTTTTTCTTTGAGAAAGCAGGATTTATTGAGAGGACAGAAAAGCTCCCACAGTGGGAGGGGGCCTGAGGGGGTTACCTAATTTTTTTTAATGGAGAAAAAAATTCCCTTAAAAAAAAAAGTCTCGATGCATGTGTTAAAAAGAAAAAAGAAAAACAGCTGGTAAGAGCAAAATAGAGTGAGTTCTGTGATGTTGGTATTGATTTGATCCAAGGTGTTGTCTAGGAACTGGCTTAGCCTCTGCTCAGTCATGACACTGTTAGCAGTTTCATAGCAGGGTGGTCTAGGATTTCTTATAGCCCCCTGTGGCAGCAGAAGTGATTTGGGAGTCACTGATTAAACTGAGATTTTTGGAGAAAGACAAGGTCAAGAGTAGGGAGCCAGCTGACCTGATTGAACTGTGGCCCCCATCCCATTGGCTTCTATCTCCAGCAAGCTGCCTCCCTCTCTGAAACTCGGTTTCCTTGTCTGCAAAGGGAATTCAGTGAGCTGTAAGAATAGCTCTTAGTACAGCATCTGGTTCACAGCAAGTGCTCAGCAAATGGTAGTAACAGCTGAAATGACACTGTACAAGATGTTAATATTATTATGATGGGTCGCTTGGGAGTAATCGTTGTTGTTCTCTGATTCTGCTTAGGGCAAGCGAGCTCAGCTAATGCTGAACAAACTGGAAAGCTGACTGAACTTATAGCTAACCTGGCATGGGATTTTGCAGTCAAAGAAGGGTTCCGGATTTTCAAAGAGATACCAGCCACAAAACCGCACACCAGGTCCCACCACACATGGTCCCGTTCACAGGCCCCGCTGAGCCCCCCAGGCACAAGGAGTTACAGCTCCGTTCCAGAAGCTTCCACAGCTGGTGCCTCAAAGGAAGCTCTGGTCATCTCTCCAGAGGGCCTTTCCCCACCAGTCAGAGAGCTGTATCACCGACTGCAGCACTTCATGGAGCAGCATGTGTTCCCCGTGGAGTCAGAGCTGCAGGGTCACCAGGCCTCAGCTGACAGATGGAACCCCTCCCCGCTGATAGAAGATCTTAAGGTAATGCAACCTTTCAGTGGCGGTAGGCTTCATTGCCATGGCGGACTCTCGGCCCACACCAGCTCATCGTGCCCCTCCCGGCGGTGAAGACACAGGAGAGCTAACTTATCTTTGCTTCCCTTCGTCATCAGAAGGAGCCAGCTCCCAATGACCCAGTTGTCATCTTGTCGCTCTTGCTGTGTGACCGGGTCGCAGGCAGATAGCCTAGGCAGAGGAATGCTGTGTCTCTGGCTTAGAAAGCCAGGACAGGTAGATGATGTTACATCATCATTATTCATATTTGAGTTATGTAAATTGGAAACAGTGTGCTGTTTTAGTTAACAAATCTCTCTAGTAAATCCATAATGCTGGTCAGGTGTGGAGGCTCACACATGTAATCTTAGTACTTTGGGAGGCTGAGGCAGAAGGATTGCTTGAGGCCAGGAGTTCAAGGCCAGCTTGGGCAACAAAGCCAGACCCCCCCCCCATCTCAAAAGACAAACACAAGACCTAGCCTGGTGAACATTCTACTTCTAGTTATACCTGAATGGAATCATAATAATAATTTTTGGTGTAGAGGGTGAAATCACAGCTCATGATTTTATCCAGAGTGTGATTACTACCCCTAATGGGGGAGGTATTTGGCTATTTACTGTGTACTTTGAAAATCCTGTGAGGTAATGTCATTATCCTCCATTTAAAGGTCAGGAGACACATTTGTGTGAGGTGCACAGTAAGAAATAATAAAAAAACCTGGCTTCACATCCAGCTCTCTGGGCTCAGATGCTGGGGCATCCTGTCCCACTCCTACAGGCAGTTGGTTAGATCTGTTTCCTCTTTCTCAGAACTTTCTCATGTCCTCCTCCCCCTCCCATCCTTATTTATTTGTTCTGGTTCATCTGCCCTTCTTATCCTTGGTCATTGCACTCTGAGCTAAGTGGCTGGGCTCAGATAATGAGACACGTCTATGTACGGCTTCTGGAAGCGCCTGACACTGAGGCTAGGCCAGCAGGGGCCCTGCCAGTGAGAAGCAGATGACGGTTCTGTCCATAACCATGACTATTCTTTGCCACCCGCCAGCTTCCAAGTCAGGCTCTTTGTCTTCTCTGTGTGACTTCATGTAATCTCCACAGCAACCTGGTGAGCTGAGTGTGATGGTCATCAGCTGGGCTTGGGCTGCCTAGTGTCTGTTCCTCCTTTTGGGAGTAGCAGCACCCCACTTTTACTTGGGGCATTCCCTCCCCCACTGTGGATGCAAAGTCTGGCAGAGCCACCAGTCCAGGTGCCAGCCAAGCCCTCCTTGGTCAGGAGGTAAGTATGTGAGCCACACCTGGCCGGGCAGACTCACCTTTTCTGGAATGAGAAGAGCGAGCAGTGTTTGCAAGGAGGACAACAGCCAGCTCTCACTCCCTCCCCAGCTGTGGGCCCCCCAGCAAGATACTGAGGATCTACCCTGCTGTGTCCTCTGAACTGCCCGGTCCCTGTCTGTTGCCAAGCCTCACACCCTAGTCTTCCTGTGCAGTCAGAGAGCTCCCGGAGCTTCCCATTCGGTTCCTTTTCCTTAGTTGATCACAATCCGTTTCTGTGGCTGCAGCTCCACAGTCCTGACAGAGGTTGGCAGTCACATCTCCATTTCACAGACAGGGAAACTGACACAGAAAGGCCCAGTATCTGGTCCAGAGCCTCCCAGTCAGGCCTGGGGGCCAGGTCTGACCTAGGCAATCTAACCAGAAACCCCAGGTTAGACAGAGCCGGAGCGGCAATGAGCAATCCAGGTTCCCTGACCCAGGAACAGTCTTGCCTCATTAAGGAGTTTGTTCAGGGGACTGGTCTCCTTATTCACCATACATTAGCTGAGGCTGCAGCCAGAGGCACCAGGCTGAGTCCTACTAGGTGTACTAAGATATCCTTCAGTCTGCTGTGCTCATTGCCTGTGTCCCTCTTTTTGGTTTGTTTTATAAGAGACGAAATCTTGCTCTGTCCTCCAAGCTGGAGTGCAGTGGTGCAACTACAGCTCACTGCAGCCTCAGACTCCTGGGCTCAAGCAATCCTCCTCCCTCAGCCTCCCAAATAGCTGGGTCTACAGGCATATGCCCCCAAGCCTGGTTAAATTTTTTTGTTTTCTGTAGAGACAGGGTTTTGCTATATTGCCTAGACTGGTCTAAAACTCCTGTCCTGAAGCAATCCTCCCGCCTCAGCCTCCCAAAGAGCTAGAATTGCAGATGTAAACCACTGTGCCTAACCCACTGCATGTGTTCTGATGAGGCTCATAGTTGTAACAGTACTAGTGTCAACAACGGTGAAACCTGGGTGCATGGGGTTGTCAGAGACATGAAGACAAGGGAGTAAACTGACTGCCACTGGTGCTACTGGGTCTTGGTTGTCCCCAGGGCCTTCCGTGTTTGTGCCCCTTCAGCTCTGCAGGTTCAGACCCAGCCCGACGGTGCAGATTCATATCCTTGTTTTTGGCTTTGCATCTTTGACTGGCTGCCTTCTTCCTTCCAGTCCCTGTCATCGTTTTCCACAGATCACAATAAAATTAAACCACCCTGGCCGGGCACGGTGGCTCAAGCCTGTAATCCCAGCACTTTGGAGGCCGAGGTGAGGGGATTGCCTGAGCCCACGGGTTCGAGACCAGCCTGGGAAACTTGGCGAGACCTCATCTCTACAATAAATTAAAAAATTGACCAGGTGTGGTAGCTCATGCCTGTAGTTCTGGCTACCTGGAAGGCTGAGGCAGAAGGATCACCTGAGCCCAGCAGGTTGATGCTGGGGTAGCTGTGAGCATGCTACTGCACTCCAGCCTGGGCGATGGAGTGAGACTCCAACTCAAAAAAAATTAAATCACTGTGTTTTCCTGACTTATTTTTCCCATGATAGGAGAAAGCCAAGGCAGAAGGACTTTGGAACCTTTTCCTACCCCTGGAGAGCGATCCCGAGAAAAAATATGGAGCTGGACTGACCAATGTGGAGTATGCACACCTGTGTGAGCTCATGGGCATGTCTCTGTGTGCTCCTGAGGTACCATCTTTAAAGTTTTCCTCAGTGGTGAAAGTATCCTGGCCTTCCATGAAACCACCCCCTCCCTCTGTCAACTGCCCTCCTGTACAAATAGAAAGATAATTCAGGAGCACCAATAAGAGCTTAAACTTTTTTTTTTGAGTTGGGGTCTCTATCACCCAGACTGGGGTACAATGGAGAGATCATGGCTCATCACAGGCTTGATCTTCTGGGCTCAGGTGATTCTTCTGCCTCAGCTTCTTGAGTGCTGGGACTGCAGGCATACACAACCAGCCTGGCTAATTTTTTTTTTTTTCTATAAAGACGAGGTCTCCATATATTGCCTGGGCTGGTCTTGAACTCCTGGGCTCAAGCAATCCTCTTGCCTCAGCCTCCCAAAGTGCTGAGATTACAGGCATGAGCCACTGCCTGACCAAGCTTAAACTTGTGTGGAGGGAGGACAGCCATAGACAGCTGGAGCCACAGCAAGAAAGCCACTAGGATGAGGGTTGCTTGGGGGCGATGGGGCCTGTTCGAGCTTCCAGCTCTTGGTTCCAGCCTCCTTTCTCTCAGGCAGAGCAGGGTCCACGACTGGGCCTCAGGGGCCCTGTGATACTGTATTCAAACTGTTGGGAGTCTGGTTGTTTCTCTGGGGAAAGGAAGAACTTCAGTGAGGTTATCAGAGGGTCTGTGAGTTAGAAGGGTACCCACTGCACCGCTTCCAGGACGTTTGAAGCTTTATTTTATTTTTGTTTTTTGAGTTGGAGTCTCACTCTGTCACCTAGGCTGGAGTGCAGTGGCACAACCAGGACTCACCGCAGCCTTGTCCTCCTGGGCTCAAGTGATCCTCCCACTTCAGCCTCCCGAGTAGCTGGCACTACAGGCACACACTACTATGCCCTGCTGATTTTTAATTTTTAATTTTTATTTATTTATTTATTTAGTTCAAGTCTTACTCTGTCGTCCAGACACACTCTTGGCCACCCCAGCATTGACCTGCTGGGCTCCAGTGATCCTTCTGCCTCAGCCTTCTACGTAGCCAGAACTACAGACACCCGTTACCATGCCTGGCTAATTTTTTATTTATTGTAGAGATTAGGTCTCGCCAACTTGTCCGGCCTGGTCTTGAAACCGCGGGCTCAGGCAATCCACTCGCCTTGGCCTCCCAAAGTGCTGGTTTTATAGGCTGAGCCACTGAGCCCGGCCATTTTTAAATTTTTTTGTAGAGGTGGAGTCTCACTATGTTGCCCAGGCTGATCTTGAACTCCTGGGCTCAAGTGATCCTCCTGCCTTAGCCTCCCGAAGTGTCGGCTTACAGGCATGAGGCACCACTCCCGGCCTATTTGAAGATATAAACGTGGGCATGAGAGGCACCGCTGTGCTGCTTCTCTCTCAGATATTCAACTGCTCGGCCCCTGACACGGGGAACATGGAGCTGCTGGTACGCTATGGCACGGAGGAGCAGAAGGCCCGCTGGCTGCATCCTTTGCTGGAGGGCAAGATCCGCTCCTGCTTCGCGATGACCGAGCCCCAGGTACCTCGCGTGAGCTGCCATATGCCTGGCACCATCGGGTCTCTGCCCGCAGGGAACGTGGGACATCTGCTAACAGCTCTAACTGGGATGTGCTCCCGTTCAGGTCGCCTCGTCAGATGCCACCAATATTGAGGCTTCCATCCAAGAGGAGGATGGCTTCTATGTTATCAACGGCCACAAGTGGTGGATCACAGGTACTTGGCCTGAGATGTGCTACTCAGGGCCACGTTGGGGTCTGTCCTCATGGGCGCCTCTCAGTGCCTGCGAGGGTCAGCTGGGCTGCAGTTGACACAGGGGATTCTCTCTTGGTGCCTTCAGAGAGGCACAAACCCCAGGAGAACAGGAGTGTAACTGCACTGAATATACTATTCTCAGGAGCACTGCTTCCCAGGTGCCCACATGCAGACGACACCCTCTGAAGATCTCTTCATGCTGCACCCTCTTTGTCCATCCAGGGGAACTCAGTGGCTTCCCCTGGCTCCTAGACCAGATGTATTACATCGTAAGGGCTAACGACAGTGCTGCCGTTTATGGGGCAACATCTTTCAGGGTCCCCATAAGTCCACGGTGGACCTTATCTCACACCTCCCCAGCTGGTGGGTATTACCACCCCATCCTACAGAGGAGGAAACCAGCACTCGGACTTGAGTGACTTGACACCTGCTGGCAAGTAGGGAACCCAAGTTAAAGACTTGCTTGGTTCCATGGCCCCGGCCCAAAGCCATTATGTTTACACCACCTGTGGGGACAGATCATGACAGGCGGGCAGGGATGAATTATGTTTTCAACTCTATGTGATGCTCTTTTAAAAAAAAACTTGCTCTTATGATGCTAGCTCCATTCCTCACTGGGGGAAAACCAATTTGCCCTCATTTCTGCTGCTCCCGGGCCAGGACTGCAGGTGTACGGATGATGGATGGCCCAGTGCAAGGTGGTTGGGTCTCTCTCTCCTTCCTGGCAGGCATCCTGGACCCTCGCTGTCAGCTCTGCATGTTTATGGGAAAGACAGACCCGCTTGCCCCACGCCACCAGCAGCAGTCCGTGCTCTTGGTCCCCATGGACAGCCCAGGCATAAACATCATCCGGTCTCTGACAGTGTTTGGGCTGGAAGATGTGCCAGGTTAGGCCTCTGGGTGGGTTGCCCCAGGGGTGGGTGTGGGTCTGGGCCCAGCCCCGAGAAACAGCTCTGGGCAGCCCTTGCTCTCGTTCGGGACTTGCCACATCCCATGTCGAAGGTATGTGATATTTGGGGGCCACACACCCTCACATTTCATGCCCATACATGAGTATCAGCCACATAGGCAGGTTTCAGACAGGTGTTGATGCATTTTTTTCTCTTCTAAACTTAGAAATAAGCAGGAGTCTGGGGCACAAGGAGGCCACACAGGGCCTCCTGAGGGGAGAGGCAGGAGGCGGGAAGCGGATGCCAGGCCTTCACTCCTGGGCCCAGTGTAGACAGCTGACCTCCGGGCCACAGCCCTGGCTGGTCCTCTCCCCGAGCTTCTCTGCTAACAACGTTCACATTTTTATTTTCAGTGTTTCCATAGTGTCATCACATGGTCACCAACGACTGGGAAGTATCCGCCAAAGGTGGCATCGTTATGTTTTCGTAAAAGGAATGACAGACAGATTTACATTTGCCTCTGTAAATCAGTGATTTGTTATCTGTCTTCAGCAAGGCTCCTCCTACCCTCCCTTCCCTGTAGCCATGTCCCGGTCAGAAGGTAACTACAGGGCAGGAACACTGCCAGCCACACCCAACCTGAGGCAAGGGGTAAGCATGGCCAAGGAAGCAGGGGTGGCAGGTGGCTCACAGTGGTTGTCTGGGTCTTTCAGGTGGCCATGGTGAAGTCCGATTTGAGCATGTGCGAGTGCCCAAGGAGAACATGGTTCTGGGCCCTGGCCGAGGCTTCGAGATCGCCCAGGGCAGACTGGGTCCTGGCAGAATCCACCATTGCATGAGGCTGATTGGGTTCTCAGAGAGGGCCCTGGCGCTTATGAAGGCCCGTGTGAGTGCCTCCCTCTGCTCCTCGTGCTGACCCCAAGCCACTACCCCCACCTGGCTGCGGACCTCAACCTCTGCCTGTGACCACAGGCCTAGTGGGTGACGCCCTTGCCAAGAAGTTGCAGGCCCGTCTTTGCTTTGCTTCTGCTACTTTGCTGCAGTTTGGATTTCGAGCAGAATAAGCTCTGCTCTGTTGCGGTGACTGGAAGGGAAAGGCCAGACTCTGGCAGCAGAGGGCAAAGTTCCAAAGATCACAGCTCCTGAGAGCCCTTTGTGCTCCTGGCATGTCAAAAAGGAGAGAACCTGTGTTGCTTGTTTTTGTCCCTGGAGTTCCGATGTCTGGCCCTGTACCTCCCTCCTCTCCCGGCACGTCCAGAAAACCTTATTCTGCTGTGACCCCCTCACAGGTTGGAAGCCCATTTAAAAGAGGGCTACTGCCAGGACAGGAATTCAGATTGGAGGGATCGAGTTCACAAAGGGAAGGCAAATGCTGAGACCAAGGCCACTGTCTCATGAGAAATGCTGTAGAATGGAGGTGGAGGTCGGAGATGTGTTTTGATTACTGAGCAAGCTGGTTTCCACCCCTTTGAATTGAGACCAACTAGCTCTTTTCCTTTGAGAAGAAAATGCTCCTCCAGGGAATACAGGTCCATGCACTGTACTTCAGCCCCTACAGCATTAAAACCGCCTTTGGCACAGGTAGCGTACGCCTGTAATTCCAGCTACTTGGAAGGCTGAGGTTGGAAGGATCGCTGGAACCCGGCGGGTCGAGGCTGCGGTGGCCGGGAGCGGCCACTGCACTCCAGTCTGGGCGACCGAGTGAGACTCCAACTCAAAAAAAAAATTAAAAGCAGGCTACAAAGCAATATATAGACTGACTCCCATTTGGGGGAAAAAATGTATACACACACATATATATATACACACACACACACACACACACACACACAAACACACAAGGAGTCTAGAAGAATACCCCAAATATTAACTATGAGTGACTATGTGGTGGGATACTAGATATTTTCTTCTTTTTTTAATCTGAAAATTGATAGTTTTTCTGCCATGAGACATGTTATTTGTGTAAAAACTTTTAAAGGAAAAATAAAACAAGAACCAAAAAGAAAACTTAGAACGTTTTCTGATGCCTCCTGGCTTTCAGAGTTTAAAATCCCGGCTACCGATGAAAGGCTTGGCTCCCCACTGCTGGGCTGGAGGCAGGGCCGCAGCCAGCAGAGGGCGCTCCACGTGCACCGCGAGAGGCACTCACAGTCACTCCCCAACACCCAGGGGAACTCGGGCCTGATATTGGCTCAGATTCACAAGGACTGTTCCTGCCTGGCAGCCAGACCTGCCCAGAGGTGGCAGAACTGCCAGAATCAAGGTTTCCTGGAAGTCACCCGTGCAGCCACCACGTGGCTGGCTCACCATGGTGCACATGTACGTGGAGTGTCAGGCCTTCTTCCTGGAAGTTGCTCGTGCCCGCAGAGCTGGCAGATTGACAGGTCAGCTGGTGGTCCTGCCTTCTCTGTCCTCTCCTGCCCTGTCCCATCTGCGCGTCACCGATCTCTGCAGGCCACCAGTCACCCTGCCGCTTGCAGCCACCCCAGCCTAGCGTGTCCTCAGTGCCGTGTCTCTGTGTCCACAGGTGAAGTCCCGTGTGGCCTTTGGGAAGCCGCTGGTGGAGCAGGGCACAGTCCTGGCGGACATCGCTCAGTCGCGCGTGGAGATTGAGCAGGCACGGCTGCTGGTGCTGAAAGCGGCCCACCTCATGGATGTGCAGGGAAATAAGGTGCGGCGGAGGGCACCACCGTAAGTGCTGAAATCAGGGGGGAAATCAGATGGTGATGGAGAGTTTTCCTCCTCGCGTGGCAAACCACGAAGAAAGCACCTGGCTTGTTGACATTAAAAACATTATTTCAGCTGAGGTGAGTGGATTGCCTGAACCTGCGGGTTCGAGACCCACCTGGGCAACTTGGCGAGACCTCATCTCTACAATAAATCAAAAAATAAGCCAGGCGTGGTAGTGCACACCTGTAGTTCCAGCTACTTGGAAGACTGAGGCAGAAGGATCACCGGAGCCCAGCAGGTCGAGGCTGCAGTGGCCAGGAGCGACCACTGCACTCCAGTCTGGGCGACTGAGTGAGACTCCAACTCAAAAAAACCCACAAAAACACATTATTTCAGCTCTGCTTGGAACTATTTGAGCAGCAGCTTTTCAAAAATCAGAAAGGCACAACAAAAGAGAACTGGCCTTTTGGTTTTAGCGGCCTGGTCCGAGACCGAGGGCCTGACAGGCCCAGTGGCCCCAGGCAGCCTAGACTCCCAGGGCCTGTTGGTGCAGGTGTCAGGCAAGCAAAGAGTAAGGAAGGGAGGGGAAGCCAAATGGCTTAATCCAAATACAGAATTAGCCAAAGTAGCTTACTGTCGAGTGTGACGTCTTCCATTAACTAAGGCTCTTTCAGAGTGCCTGTAATGGCCAGGCACGATGCCCGCAGTGACCCTGCTCTATCCAGCTTTCACTGGGGCAGCCTCCACCCCCAACCAGGAGGCTCCGCCATGGGAGGATGGCCCAGGTTCCTTATTCCCTGTTCTCTGATGCTCTCGTGCTGGATATGGCGGGGGCTGGCGGGTGCCCCATTTGAGTGCCCTGACTGGGGCAGACCCCTGTAGCTCAGTTTCATGGATTCCTGGCTGGCTCTGGTCCACTGCACTTGGAGGCAGAGCTGGCTGTGACCCTGAACAGAGCACAGGCCCCTCCCTTCACCTTCTCTGTGCTGGCCAGGTCTCAAGCCCGTCCTCTGCCAGGCACTGGCTTCACACCTTAGGATGTCTGGTGAGATCTCAGGGCCTGTGTTGCGAGCCCTGCGTCTCACTCCTCCCTGTGAGTCAATGGTTCTTCCAGTCCTGCCCTTAGGTCTTTTTAACCATATCTCCTCTTCCCTGCAGGCTGCAGCTCTGGATATAGCCATGATTAAAATGGTAGCCCCGTCCATGGCCTACCGAGTGATTGATCGCGCTATTCAGGTGAGCACAGGCCAACAGTTGGTCTGTTTGAACCGCTGACACCAGGTGCGAGCCTCTCTGCCCTCTGGCCAGTTTCCTGTATACCCGGCGACTGCCCTGTCCTGCCCACTCGCTGATTGTGCTTGTGACGTTCCTCGTCCTCCAGAACACCCCTCCGAGGGGCCCATCCTGACCATTTTGAATATGAGGAAAGTCACAGAAAAGTTAAGTGACCTAGCCGGGCTTGGTGGCTCAGCCTGTAATCCCGCGCCTTTGGGAGGCTGAGGTGAGTGGATTGCCTGAGCCCGCGGGTTCGAGACTTGCCTGGGCGGCGAGACCTCATCTCTATAATAAAATCCAAAAATCAGCCGGGCGTGGTAGCGCATGCCTGTAATTCCAGCTACTCAGAAGGCTGAGGCGGAAGGATCGCCCGAGCCCAGCAGGTCGAGGCTGCGGTGGCCGGGAGCGGCCACTGCACTCCAGTCTGGGCGACCGAGTGAGACTCCAACTCAAAAAAAAAAAAAAAAAAGTTCAGTGACTTGTCCAGGTCACTCAGCTTGCAAGTTTCTGCCCTCACATGTATGTGAACCTGGGTTTTTATAACCCCAGAGCCCAGCCTCTCACCCAGGGATGCCACCCTCTCGAATCCCCACCCCCCGGCCTGATACAGAACAGAAGCCACCTGCAGAATGGGCTTGGACATCTGGCCCCATGGGATGGCCGGTGTGGCCCCACCTGGAGTCTTGGGAATGAGTTATCGTGTCACATGGTATCACCGGGATATCCCGGGAGGAGAGCTATTATGAGCCACCCCGAGCAGGCCATCACTCCAAACCCTTGGAGATGAGGGCTCATGGTCCTGTCCCCCGCTGCCCATGTCTGCCAGGCCTTCGGAGCAGCAGGGCTGAGCAGCGACTACCCACTGGCGCAGTTCTTGGCCTGGGCTCGAGCGCTGCGCTTTGCCGATGGCCCTGACGAAGTGCACCAGGCGACAGTGGCCAAGCTGGAGCTGAAACGCCACCCTTAGATGCGAGACTGCAGGAGTCACCCCCAGGACTGTATCCGATGTGCCTGCACCCTGCCCTGCTGCTCTGTTCTGGGACAGTCAGCGTGAACTCCATCTTCCTGGGTTTCCACAGATGTTTCTGGGACAAGTCTGGGAGAGAGGAGGGGGATTCACTGAGAGCTGAGTGGGGGTCAGGCCGGAGCCTGGCAAGCTGGTCTTCAGGCTCTGGGTCTGGCCTGGGCACCTGCGCCCCCACCTCTGGCTGTGAGGATCTGGACACATGAGGAGGCCTCCTCAGGTTGTGGGCTCCCTGTCCAGGGCCCTCCCTGGCAAGCAGAGGAGCGGCCACAAGGGGCCACGGCCCATGGACCCAGGGCCAGAGCTCCTAGGGAAACAGAGGGATGCCAGAAGTGGGACATCACTGGCACCTGCTCCTCATTTGAGTGTCCACAGCACAGAACAACAATTTAACTGTCATTTTGTAAAGGGGCTTTGAGGACACAAAAGAAAAAGGAAATCTCCAGCCTTTGTGGACTTTCTGTCTCCTCCAAAAGCAGTTGCGTCTAGAGGACCCTCAGCCAGTCTCAGCACGCCAGCTGCCCCGCCACCTCCCACTTTTGTCCCCACAGGGTCCTGCCCACTGCCTGACCCCACACATGGGGCTGCAGATACCAAGATCTCACTGGGCCCCAGATCATCATGGCTCAGCTCTGCACTCTGTGCTCACAGAGGAGCCGTGGTGTTCTTGGGTGCAAGGCCCCTGTAAATACTCACACAATACTGGGAAAAGGCAGATGGTGGGCAGCACACCATTTCCGTTTGCAGGGCAGTATTCTCTCTGACGAAATGGGGGTCCCAGGAGCCCCAGCAGCACATGGCAATAAGCCATAGGCAGTCGGGACCCAGCGTGTTGATCCCGTAACTTGTGATGTGGCTGAAGCTGGTGTTGGCTCAGACCAGATGGGTGGGGACCATCCCCCTCGTCTGCTGCCCTTCCCGAGAGTGTCCAGGCAGGACTACACTCCAGGGTCCCCAGAGGCCGTCAGGGCTGCTTGCCCTGGACGGTCTGGAGGTGGGCCCTCCTCTAGCACACTTGAGAAACTGCTTGTTACTCAAGGAAGGTGAAGCTAAAGGCGAACCCCAAACTAAGTGCTATCACTGTGCCAGCCACACTGGCCAAGAAACTTCTGCAAACTGGCGCTTTCTGGCAGCCTGAGTTCTTGCTTTTGCTTCGTGCCTCAGGAGGCAGGAGGTTTTAGAAAAGGAAGCGGTTGTGGCCTGGCGTATCACGCGGCCCTAGAATGTCTTCTGTGGCCTTTGGGGTTAAGTTTGCTTATTCATGGCGCAGCTGCAAAGGGGAAAGCAGGAGTGGTGCTGTGGGGGGCCCCAGGTGTCCCTCAGAGCCTCGGCCGCAGTGGAGGCGTCGGGACACTGCCTGCAGAAGGGCAAGTCCCAGCAGCCCCTCGGCCCAGCCTCCAGTTCCACGAATCATTCTGCTCACCACTGTCAACAGATCGAGCCCGCTCTGGGCCGGGCACTAGCCAGGCCTTGAGGAACATGCAGGTGAACAAAACAGGAGTATTGCTGCCCTCATGGAGTTTGCATACCAAGGGAGGGCTTGCGGTGAGTGCCTCGGGGGTGACTGACGTGGCGCCTGGGGCTGGGGAATCAGGGAGCACTCTTTCCAGAAGAGGCATGGGAGCCCAGACCTGACTGATGAGAAGAAAGGGCAGGGATGCTTCTGGAAGAAGGAGGAGCAGGAGGGAGGGTGGCAGGTGTGGGTGGGGAGATTGCACAGCACCAGGTCACACGGGACCTGCTTGAGGTAGTGAGTTTAAGTAGTGGTGTGACATGACATGATTTGGGTTTTTAAGAGATCCTGCCACTCTCCAAAGTTCACTAGAACAAAGAAGGAATAAAGGAGGATTAGAGCTGGCTTAAAGTTCCCTAACAGGCTGGGTGCGATGACTCACACCTGTAATCCCAGCACTTGGGAGGTTGAGATGGGAGGATCACTTGAGGCCCGGAAATTCAAAACCAGCCTGGGCAGCATAGCAAGACCCCCATCTCTCAAAAAAAAAAAAAAAAGACATGAGCCAAAGGAACCAAGAATAAAAGAATATCTAACCTGGTTCTAATCCCATCTTTCTCACCTACCTTCAGCAAACAGTTGGTATTTCTGACTGGTGACTAGTGTGGTGACCCCTCAGCACTGAGTTTCTGCAGTCTGGGTACTTCCGTGTGGTTGTGGGTGCATACTGGGATGTGGCCCAGTCTGGTTTGGTGATGATCGTGCTTGACCAGTTTGATTTGGGGAATACCATCCCTGCGTGACTGGACCTGTCTCAAGAAATGGAATAGAATATAATTACAGCATGCCAACATGCTTCTTCCTCGCAGCAGCGTTCTGTCCCAAAGCGACACACATGCCCCTCTGCTCCCTGGCAAGCATCAGGGGCTGGATTTCTGCAGGGCTGAGTGCTTCCCAGAGATCCCATGACTGTCCAGACCCCATGGGGGCCCTCCAAGAGTGCCAGCTCTGCAGAGGCTTTCCCTCCCTTCCAGTTCTCCCTCCTCCTCATTCTCCCTGCACCTGTCTGTGCTCCCCCAAGGCCTGATTTCACATAGTCAGATCGTTCCAGCACAATCCTGTATAGGCTGAAAGAAGGAGACAGTTCCAGGCAACTTACCTGGGTGGAGCCCTTTTAGATGGCAGCTGGGAGAGACACGGAAGAACAGGGTCTGGCATCTTCCTCCATGTGTCCCTGTTGTAGAGTCCCTAGTGGTTGTCTGTCACCACCCAGGGCTTCAGAGTTCCCCAGGGATGCCAGGGCTGTCAGACCCAGGGATGGCCTGGGTCTGAAGCATAGGTTGAGCACCTCTGGGACCCCTCTGCCCTCTGCTGTGACAGAGGTCCATACTTTCCCTCTGTCTTTCACCAATATGCATGCATCTCAGAGCAGACAGGTGGAGTCCCAAGTCCAGCAACCCAGGCCCACACCCACGAGTGACCCAGGCTAGAGTTTCTTTTAACGCATTGACTGAGGAAAGACATGGTTTCGGGAATCCTGTATCCTGCTGGCATGAAATGGGAGCACAGTGGTTGGGAGCTGTCAGACGAAGCTAGGCATAAAGTGGCAAGGACAGCATTTAATCAATAGCCTTTTACACTCAGATGTCCCGTCTGAGGGAACACTGTAAATCTAGCAAAGCCCTCGGATGTCCCCTCTCAGGGGACATAGAGAGATAGTTGGTGATCATACAAGACAAATTTATGCCAACGCAATTTTAAAAAAAATGTATGTTTCCTTGAAGTTGTCCATTAAAAAACAATGAAAAACCTACATCCCATTTGAAGTTTGTCAAGCTTCTGATGGATCGGTTAGAAGTTGTTTTCAAGGATCACAAGTGCATCCTTCTACATTGTCTGTGAGCAACAGACTAGACAATAAATCACCTATGATTAATGTGGGAGGGAGAAAATGAGACTGTCTTGTCTTCTCAAAAAGAAAAACACCAGGTGGAAGACGTCAACAAATTACTATAATAGCACAACATGTATCAATGAACCCACAATGCATGTTGGTGACTGTTTCACATGTTACCACATGTTAGAAAAATATAAAATTTTGATTCTTTTGTCATAAAGACATTCCTTCATGTCCAAAATTCCATTATAAGCCAAATAGCATGACAATCAAATAATTGGTTCGAACGCCATATTATTTAGTATGAAGTGATTTCGTTTTTCACTATTTCATTAAAAAGTGTGGTCAAGTTGCTGGTAGGTGACCCACGAGATGTCTCCGAGTGCAAAGGGCTAGACTATTGCAACAGCAGGCAGGGTCCGCAGAACCTACCTGAGCTCAACTTCTGTTTGTGCAAAGGTGACGGGGCATTTTCAAAGGAGAATGAGGGAGGAGGAAGGTAATGGTATGCATGGGCTCCAGCAGGTTGGGGGAGTGAACGCTTTTGAGTCGGGGTCTCACTCTGTCGCCCAAGCTGGAGTGCACTGGCACAATCATGGCTTACCACGGCCTCGGCCTCCTGGGCTTAGATGATCCCTCCTCCAGCCTCCCAAGTAGCCAGGACTACAGGTGCAGGCCACCGTATCTGGCTAATTTTTAACTTTTTTTGTAGAGACAAGGTCTCACTATGTTGTCTGGACTAGTCTTGAACTCCTGGGCTCAAGCAAGCCTCCCACCTTGGTCTCCCAAATTCCTGGGATCACAGGGTTGAGCCACTGTACCTGGCTGGAAGTGGACATTTATGGACAGCAGGAGGGGATCCGAGTGACATCTGTTTGAGTTGCTAACGGAAGCTAGGTTCCTGTCCTCCCACGGAGGCTGAGTTAGAAGGGATCATCTTCAGGTGTCTCTGGTACAAACAGTGACTTCTCTTGGGAGCACTGAGCCTTCTCAGGTAGGCATGTTAAAGGGGCTAAGTGCATCCTGGGGTACAGCTTCGAGCTGTTGGAAGCCATGTTAGTATTTGTTCCAGTCTTCTCATGGAGAGGGTGTGGACTAATTATTTGTGCTGAGTCTGCAGTTTTGTTTTTCTTTTCTTTTTTTTTTTTTTTTTTTGAGTTGGAGTTTCACTCCGTCGCCCAGACTGGAGTGCAGTGGCCGCCCCCGGCCACCACAGCCTTGACCCACTGGGCTCTGGCGATCCTTCCACCTCAGCCTTCCGAGTAGCTGGAATTACAGGCGTGCACTACCACGCCTGGCTGATTTTTGATTTATTGCAGAGATGAGGTCTCGCTGCCCGGGTGGGTCTTGAACCCACGGGCTCGGGCAATCCACTCACCTCAGCCTCCCAAAGGCGCGGGATTACAGGCTGAGCCACCGAGCCCGGCTTGTTTTTCTTTTTTTGAGTTGGAGTCTCACTCTGTCGCCCAGGCTGGAGGGCAGTGGCACGCTCATGGCCACCACAGCCTCGACCTGCTGGATTCAGGTGATTCTGCCACTTCAGCCTTCCAAGTAGGTGGAACTACAGGAGCCAAGGACTGTATGTATATTATTTCCACCCTTATAACAACTGGCAGGTGCTTTTTTTCTGCCCACATTAGGAATGAGGATACTGAGGTTCAAAGAGGTTGCATGACTTGCCTAAAGTCACCCAGCAAGTAAGTGAATTCAAACCTAAATTCAGAAGACTCCAAACTCTTTCTACTCTGCCGTGGATTTTTAGGGCCTTCCTGCAGGTGCTGGCCTCCTCCCCTGGAAAAGTAGGAGGAATACAATGAAGCCAGTCCCACCTGGCCAAGGAGAGTGTGCCTCTTGCCTGTTCTAGAGTAATTGTGGGAATGCCCCCACCCCCGACGACTCCTCAGTGGGTGAGGTCCCAAGAGGGAGTGTCTGCCGTGTGGGCCTGATTGCATGGGGGGGAGAAGCCAACTGTGTGTGTCCGCGTGTGCATATATGCACGTGCGCACACAAATATGGAGGGCATCTGGGACACAGGGCTGACCACATTCTTCCTCCTTCTCATGAGGGCAAATGTCTTCCTGTTTAAATATGGCTTTGAATTCCCCACCTAACATTGTTTGCGAGAAGAAAAAAAAGTTGCCACAGATAGAATCAGTGTCCCAGAACCAGGACTAATTAACAAAACATCTAAAATCTCACCAGTCAGTGACCCTGAAGAAGGTGTCAGTTACCACCTTTTTAGAGAGTAGGTGGAACTAGACCTTTTTTTTTTTTTGAGATAGGGTCTCGATCTGGCATCCAGACTGGTGCAGTGGCATGATCATAGTTCACGACAGCCTCAAACTCCTGGGCTGAAATGCTCCTCCTGCCTTAACCTCCCAACCAGCTGGGACTACAGGCACACGCCACCATGCTCATCTAGTTTTACTATTATTATTATTATTTGGAGTCTCACTCTCACCCAGGCTGGAGTGCAGTGGCACGCTCACAGCCAGCACAGCCTCAATCTGCCAGGCTCAGGTGATCCTTTTGCCTCAGCCTTCTAAGCAGCTGGAACTACAGGCATGTGCCACCACACCAAGCTAATTTTTTTTTTATTTATTGTAAAGATGAGGTCTCACCAAGTTGTCCAGGATGGTCTCGAGCCCGTGGGCTCAGGCAGACCTCTCACCTCGGCCTCCCAAAGTGCTGGGATTACAAATCGTGAGCCACCATGCCCAGTCCACGCTCTCTCTTCTAACCAGGCCCTCAGCCTCTCTTGCCTCCAGTTACAATCCAGTTACAATGCTGTCCCCGGAGGAACCTCTCAAAGGCACATATGCAGACATGTCACTTCCAGAGAAATGATAGCATAAGAGATGAAGGCTTATGAGAAAGCTGCAGTGATCAAAACTGTCACACTGGGGCTGAAGAGGCTGCCAAGATGCCACAGTCCAAGTCCCAGAAGATCGCGATCCTGGGCTACTGGTCTGTGGGGAAATCTTCATTGACAATTCAATTTGTTGAAGGCCAATTTGTTGACACCTACGATCCAACCATAGAAAACACTTTTACAAAGTTGATCACAGTAAGCCGGGCTCGGTGGCTCAACCTGTAATCCTGTGCCTTTGGGAGGCTGAGGTGAGTGGATTGCCTGAGCTTGCGGGTTCGAGACCCGCCTGGGCAGCGAGACCTCATCTCTACAATAAGTCAAAAAATCAGCCGGGCGTGGTAGCGCGCCTGTAATTCCGGCTACTTGGAAGGCTGAGGCGGAAGGATCGCCGGAGCCCGGCAGGTCGAGGCTGCGGTGGCCGGGAGCGGCCACTGGACTCCAGTCTGGGCGACAGAGTGAGACTCCCACTCAAAAAAAAAACCAACTAAACAAAGTTGATCACAGTAAATGGACAAGAATATCATCTTCAACTTGTAGACACAGCTGGGCAAGATGAATATTCCATCTTTCCTCAGACATACTCCATAGACATTAATGGTTATATTTTTGTGTATTCTGTTACATCAATCAAAAGTTTTGAAGTGATTAAAGTCATCCATGGCAAATTGTTGGATATGGTGGGGAAAGTACAGATACCTTTATGTTGGTTGGAAATAAGAAAGACCTGCATATGGAAAGGGTGATCAGTTATGAAGAAGGGAAAGCTTTGGCAGAATCTTGGAACACAGCTTTTTTGGAATCCTCTGCTAAAGAAAATCGGACTGCTATTGATGTCTTTAGAAGGATAATTTTGGAGGCAGAAAAAATTGATGGGGCAGCTTCACAAGGAAAGTCTTCGTGCTCGGTGATGTAATTCTCTGCAAAATCTGAGGACACTGGGAATATATTCTACCTGAAGAAGCAAACTGCCCGTTATCCTTTAAGATAAACTATGCTTCTTTTTTCTCCTGTTAACCTGAAAGATATCATTTGGGTCAGAACTTCCTTCCCTTCAGATTATGTTAAACTCTGACTTTGTACAAATGAGTTCACTTCCATTTTCAAATTTTTTTTTTTTTTTTGAGTTGGAGTCTCACTCTGTCACCCGGACTAGAGTGCAGTGGCCGCTCCCGGCCACTGCATCCTTGACCTGCCGGGCTCCGGCGATCCTTCCGCCTCAGCCTTCCGAGTAGCTGGAACTACAGGCGTGCGCTACCGAGCCCAGTTCATTTTTGATTTATTGTAAAGATGAGGTCTCACCAAGTTGCCCAGGCGGGTCTTGAACCCGTGGCCTCAGGCAATCCACTCACCTCAGCCTC